GAGTTACTTTCAGTAGATGCATGGCGACGTCAAAATGTGCAAAGCGCCGTTTCAAATCAGTGAACAGCTTTCTACACAGTACCAGTGGGTGGCGCCTGGCGTTCGACTTCAGCCAAACTTATCGGAGATCATTTCTTTTGCGCTCTTCAATTTCATTCGGCAAATTTTACGGAAGATGAATATCAGACTTTATTTGAAGTCTGGCATTCACTTATCTTACCATTCTCATAACTTGAGAACGTCGTAAGCAAATGTCCATATTACAAGAAGTTTATTTCATAAGGCCAATATCTTGAAATGCTGTAAATGAGTACTTTAGTTAAAGAAATTTTCTAGTCAGCCTAGGCTAGTCTATCAAAATATTTCTCGAGCACTTAATTTCTTTAAATAAAACAGACTGAGACAATATCACTTTTTATATTATCTACGTGATTAGATGACACTTTTCTAGTCATCATAAAAGACGTTTCCAGTCTCGAAGTTAGAAAAGGTTGGTGTACGGAAACCGGTAACCGGACAAAAGCTCACCGGACAGAAGCTCACCGGACAAAAGCTCACCGGACAAAAGCTCACCCGTTTTTTGACAGACCCGGACAAAAGCTCACCCGTTTTTTGACAGACCCGGGCAAAAGCTCACCTCGATTTTTTTTTTCCTACCCGGGCGAAACACGGGCTGAAATAAAGTGCTGACGCAATGGACATTGGACCATTTTTAGGAGAACTTGTACCTCATCTACCATTGAGTTGAGAATTTTTTTTTAATATTTTGAAAGAACGGGAGTTCGGCCTTTTGGAAAAGTACAAGACAGATGACCAATTTAAAAAATTGTGCGGGATTTTAGATACGCTCGGGTTCCTTCCACCACAGCTTGTTCCACAAGAACTAACCACCAGGGAAAAGTCTACCGGTGACATCGCTACCTGCTGGACTATTTTGATTGCACGTATTTCAACGGCCGCTTTCGTTATGCTTCTGTTCCATCTGCGGCGGCACCCAGAGCGAATTCTTCCCTTCGCCTGACTCTGCGCCGACGGCGACCGGAGTTTCCCCCGGTACGGTGGAATATGTACGACACCACTCTTCAAGATAAAGACCGGATGAGGAACACCTGCAAAAGGTAGAGTACCGGGTTCCAGAAGCTCGTCGGCCACGCCCATCCAAGCGTCTTGAGGCTGATTGAATGCCTACAGCAAAATCAGGCGCTCGTTGCCACGGCATTGGCAAAAGCCCGGAGTGGTGAGCCCACCGTAAAGCGGGTGCGAAAAATTACTCTGCACCTTCAGAATCGTCTTAGAAATATTTGCGAGGGCTTGCATGTACATCGAGATCTACCAAGACTGCTGGACCTGGTGGGGGACTGCATTCGCCTCTAACCAATCAATAAATAAACTTGTTTGTACTAAAATCAACAAACCATGCGCCTGTCAGATTTAATTTATCGTTGCCTTTTTTTGTCGCACGCATGCACCTAAGTTGTCCGCACTCGTGTTAAGACCAACATGAAATTTTCTCGTGGTGAGCTTTTGTCCGGGTCTGTGAAAATATGGCTGAGCTTTTGTCCGGGTCTGTGAAAAAATGGGTGAGCTTTTGTCCGGTGAGCTTTTGTCCGGGATTCCGGAAACCAAAACAGTAAACTTGTCAGTTCATCTGTTCTTGGTGATTCAGCAGATTGGTTATCATGTTGTCGACCTGCTTTTTCACTAAGCACTCATGCGATATAGTCTGTTGCAATATAAGATGATCAGTTCGATATCTGACTTGATCAAAAAAACTGCTCCGACTTTACTCAACAATATTAACAATTTAATCAAACGTTTCGTCTCCCATGCAGGAAACATCGTCAGTGAAACCTACAAGCAGGAATGAGAGAAGCAAGTCCGCGTACACATCGGGGAGGGGGCCGCGGTTCGAGTTGCAAGCTGATGAGTCACTTGGGATGAACCATGATTCCACGAACCTGCGTGGACCCCACCTTTGTTCGCGCGCCAGAGTGGACGCATTCTCAAAGTCGAAACAGTGACCCGTATTCCAACAATGGTCTACGAGTTCCGTCTTCGCTCTTGTCGCATGCGTGGCCTTCGCCACGTCCCCTTTGTGTTCGTTTAAGCGAGTGCAGCGCTTCCGGCCTGTCTCCCCAATGTAGGATGCGTCACAGCCTAGACAATTCACTTTATACACAACACCGCACTGGGACTCTGGGGGGGTGTAATCTTTAGGTTTAGAAATGAGGTCACGTAGTTTACGATGGGGTTTGAAAGCAGCGCGGATATTCAAAGGGGCGAGGGCCCTGCGAATACACTCAGAAACACCTCTCAAATAGGGTATTGTTACTTGCCCTGTCCTAAGTCGTCCATTATCCTGACTTCTTCTTTGCCCCATCTGTTTGCGCGTGTTATCAATAAAACGTTTCGGATAATTCCGCTTCATCAACAGGTCAACAATAACAGCATCTTCAGAAGCGCGCAATTGAGCAATAGAAGAAATGCGTTCGGACCGATGTAGTAAGGTTTTTACGACTGCCCTTTTATGTTCGACAGAATGGTGCGAGTTAAAGTTTAAGAGGTTGCCTGTATCGCAAGCTTTGCGGTACACTGTTGTATCTAAGCGACCGTTACTATGTCGGAACACATTAACATCCAGAAAAGGCAGCGCACCGTTCTGTTCAACTTCATGTGTGAATTGGATTGATGATTCAACGTTGTTTAAAGCTAAATGAAAGTCAGCAACATGGTCCTTGTTTAAAATTACAAAAGTGTCGTCCACATAACGTTTGTAAAAACCTATCGGGAGCATACCCTGTTCAAGGACAGTTTCCTCCACATACTCCATAACCAGATTTGCCATTGTAACAGAAATTGGGCTACCCATTGGACATCCTTCAATTTGGTGATAAATTTGTCCTCGAAACGTAAAATGCGATTGTTTAAGACAAAAACGCAGCAAAATTACAATATCATCCACCGTTAACGATGTGCGTGATGGGAGGCTGTCATCCCTACGTAGGCGTGTTTCGGCTATCTCAACAGCCCGAGAGGTGGGGACATTCGTGAACAAGGACACAACATCAAATGAAACCATTATGTCGTCTTCGTCTAGGACGTGATCCCGTCCTAGACGAAGACGACATAATGGTTTCATTTGATGTTGTGTTGTCCTTGTAAAGTCGGAGCAGTTTTTTTGATCATTATGATTCCCGGCTTTTGGAATATTTTTGCATCTGACTTGAGTGCGAGCTACTTACCTTCCGTACCGCTCGGTGCACGCACAGCCAAAGCGGTAACCGGACAAAAGCTCACCGGACAAAAGCTCACCGGACAGAAGCTCACCGGACAAAAGCTCACCGGACAAAAGCTCACCCGTTTTTTGACGGACCCGGACAAAAGCTCACCCCTTTTTTTGACAGACCCGGGCAAAAGCTCACCTCAATTTCTTTTTTTTTTTCTACCCGGGCGAAACACGGGCTGAAATAAAGTGCGGACGCAATGGACATTGGACCTTTTTTAGGAGAACTTGTACCTCATCCACCATTGAGTTGCGAATTTTTCAAAAATACTTTGAAAGAGCGGGAGTTCGGCCTTCTGGAAAAGTACAAGACAGATGACCAATTTAAAAAAAAAAAAAAATTGTGCGGGATTTTAGATAGGCTCGGGTTCCTTCCACCACAGCTTGTTCCACAAGAACTAACCACCAGGGAAAAGTCTACCGGTGACATCGGCTACCTGCTGGACTATTTGGATTGCACGTATTTCAACGGCCGCTTCCGTTATGCTTCTGTTCCATCTGCGGCGGCAGCCAGAGCGAATTCTTCCCTTCGCCTGACTCTGCGCCGACGGCGACCGGAGTTTCCCCCGGTACGGTGGAATATGTACGACACCACTCTTCAAGATAAAGACCGGATGAGCAACACCCGCGAAAGGTAGAGTACTGGGTTCCAGAAGCTCGTCGGCCACGCCCATCCAAGCTTCTTGAGGCTGATTGAATGCCTACAGCAAAAGCAGGCGCTCGTTGCCACGGCATTGACAAAAGCCCGGAGAGGTGAGCCCACCGTAAAGCGGGTGCGAAAAATTACTCTGCACCTGCAGAATCGTCTTAGAAATATTTGCGAGGGCTCGCATGTACATCGAGGTCTACCAAGACTGCTGGAGCTGGTGGGGGACTGCATTCGCTTCTAACCAATCGATAAATAAACTTGTTTCTACTAAAATCAACAAGCCATGCATGCGCCTGTCAGATTTAATTTATCGTAGCCTTTTTGTGTCGCACGCATGCACCTAAGTTGTCCGCACTCGTGTTAAGCCCACCATGAAAGTTTCTCGTGGTGAGCTTTTGTCCGAGTCTGTGAAAAAATGGGTGAGCTTTTGTCCGGTGAGCTTTTGTCCGGTGAGCTTCTGTCCGGTGAGCTTTTGTCCGGTGAGCTTTTGTCCGGGATTCAGCCAAAGCACGGCGGCAGGCAAGAGCGCACGCTGCAGGGGAAGCTTGTCCTGCTCTTAATTTTTTTTTCTTCTTGAACTTAGTGTCCGCGGGTACGGCCGTAGACAATGGTACTCCTCCCTGTGCATCAGCGCAGCTGTTTCACCGCCGAAACTGGCCGCATTTAAGGATGGACGGAATCAGACGCATATAGTGTTCGTAAAAAAAAGATCGCAATTTAGGCTCGAAACCACTTCGTGGTTTGCCAAGTGGCTCAATACTATTGTTTCATTCGCTGTGTGCTACTAGAAAGAAATTCATTTCGCAAAATTAATCGAAAGTGGCATGAAACAGCATCACGATCGCGTGCACGTTGAAACCGAAACCGACCAAATTGAAGCAACCTAATGGCGGCGAGTGCTCCAGCGCCCTCTACCCGCCGGTCAGGCAACTACTGAAATGAAAAGGTAACTGTAAACATTAGAACGGTGAATATCCAGGCGTGTGCTACACGCGAAGTCATCGGCGGATCTGCAAAAACTTTTAAAAAGTGGTCGAAAAAAAAAAGAATAAAATAAACACCACTTACCGCTCATTTTCGCGTCGAGGTAGATCCTCTTCGTCTGCTTCCAAGTGCTGACGGGAGAAACACAAGAAGAGGGTGTCATCTATGGTGTAAGCAAGAATCTCCGAAAATGCAGCGCTCATGACCCACCCGCAAGCACCAGGAACCTTCTTCAAGGCACGGGCGCCAGAGGGCGGCTCTGTAGAATGCTTTTTATCTACGAGCACTCGCGCATAAAAAGTGATTTCGAAAGCCACCCGCTCGCGTCTGTATAGACTTCTGCCAAGACAACTTGTAAGGTAGATTCATTCTTGTCAATAACCCGGGAGATCGGTGGCCGAGTGGGCCATACCAACACCTCCCAGATACTAAGGCCGTAGCGCTCTTCTCGTGACGTCGCAAAGGAAGGCCATCTAGGGCGCGCGTCGAAGCGAAGGCAACGCGCGTGGATCGACCGTCGTAACGCGCTTTTAGTCACATACGCGTGTCTTATTAGCTATAATGAAAGCTGCGCCATAGCAACTGGTCTAGAAAACATTTTATTACACGAGCAAAACATTACACCGCTAAATAATCGGTACGAAATGGCACGAGGTATGCGTATAAGACGCCTAAAGAAAAATGTGATTGGTTGAAGTCGAAAACATTAAGTCACGCAATTATTGCTGTAGGAATGCATATTTTATACAGAAATACTTCGACAAAATGGCGAGACACGCAGTGATTGTACACAGCAAAACTGATCACAGTTAAAAATCAGGTAGGCGTAGTCAACGAGGACACGGCTAGACAATTGTCGTTTACGATCATGCAAGCGATGTTATCGCGCGCACTCACTGAATTCCCGCATTATACCCCGGCCACATGGCAAAATTAATGTAATTTCGATCGAATGACATTATGGGGTCGACAAATCAGCTTGCGACGCTCCTATAATCACTCAAGACCGCGAGCTCATTAAATCCCATATCATTTAATGAAAATATATTAACTTACATACAAAACTTGAAAGAATAAAACACAGAGGACTAGGACAGGAACAGGACATCTTTCATTTAGCAACAACATAGAATGGCCCAACGAAAAAACCGCCCCCAAGGGTCTCACCGTACTCAAAAGGAAAAGGAGATACTAGTTATAAAGGAAAGGGAATATACTAAATATAAAAGTTTAAAAAGCGCATCAATAATCTTGTTATCTCTGATTACTTAGAATTCGACCTTTGTCATTGTCAGTGATAATGCAGAATTATTCTTGTTTGCAGTCCAAAAGGAAAATGTACTACAAAAATAAGAGTTTAAAAAGCTGTAGCGTCATGACGAGCTGTCAATAATCTAGCCATCTCAGGTGTTAAGAATTCGACCTCTGTCTTTGTCAATAACAATGAAGGTGCGGAAATGTTGTTTACAGTCCCCATGGCAAATGATTCAATGATTTCTCTCCAAAATCTGTTGTGCCCGCCCAGTATTTTAGTATCAGAAAAATGAGGAGTACAGTCATCGCACGTGCGGCCGTGAACGACAATGGGGTGATACGACTCATTTGAAGCCTTTGATGCTTCCAAGTTGTGTTCTCCGAATCGATGGTTGACGCATCTCCCAGTCTGTCCAATGTAGTGACTGCCACAGCTTAGTTTAATTGAATAAACCTTTCTTTCTTCGCATTTTACAAACTTTTTGGCATGCTTTACATTGCACCCTCGGGGACTGTCGCCCCCATTAACCTTTTTGCACATCTGTTTGAGGCGCATACGACAAGAAAAAAACATACTCGTGTCGAACCGTGGCGCGATAGACCTTAAACGATGAGCGGAATTGTGCATGCAGGGAATCACAGCGAAACGACCTTTCTTTTTTTGAAACAGCTTGCGGAAGTTGTGGTTTGATGATGAACCTCTCAAGGGTGGAACGAAGTAGGTCAGCAGGAAAGCCTCCTTTTTCTAACCTCTGCTGTTGCAACTTGAGGCTACTTTCGGAGAAATGCGTGCACGACTTGGAGAATGAGGACTTGAAAAGTGACCTTACTATGCCATGCTTAATAGACTTGGAGTGAGCACTGGTGAAAGGGAGGACTAGCTTCTCCGACCTCTGCTGGAAGGTCCTTTATAATTAGTATCTCCTTTCCCTTTTGAGTACGGCGAGACCCTTGGGGGGCGGTTGTTTCGTTGTGCCATTCTATGTTGTTGCTAAATGAAAGATGTCCTGTTCCCGTCCTAGTCCTCTGTTTTATTCTTTCAATTTTTGTATCTATTAACCAACACGCTCGTTTTCAAATGTAAATTATATTAACTTTTCCGTGTGGCAGGGGTACTCAACTTACTACTTACAATTAACTAGTTTACTTGTCCCAATGGGCTCAAGCTGCTTTAGAACAAAATATAACTTATTTTGTATACAAAAATACTAGTACCTTAATACAGTTAAGATTCTAGTATAAACCCGGCAAAGGCAATAAAATAACATTAGTATAAATAAACACATAAGCACAAACAACGCACTTTCAATAATCACACAAACTTGTTATTCACCTTCCAGTAAAAACTGGAAGATAACCACGCATGTTTACAAATGTCGACGCCACAGCACCGGAAAACGAAGAAGAACAAAATTCCATTCTATAACAAAATTAAAAAAAAAAAAAAAAATCGACTGCAGCATTTTATTCGCGTCCTACATGATCAAGAAAGCCCGTAAATACCTAAGTTGTTTCTCACCTGTCGATCGTATCCATTCGACGCACAATATCTGTCACAAAAACATTTGAACACGAACTCTATCGAACTATCAATAATCGACCAGTGTCATCGTTGACTAGTTGCCACACATGCAGACTTGTACCGTACGCATTACAAGTAATCAAATTACTTGTAATCGATTACTTTTTGGAGTAATTTTGTAATCAGTTGATTACTTTTATTAGGCAGTAATCAGAAGAGTAATCTGATTACTTTTTGAATTAATAAAATTACTGGCACACGACTTTTTTTTTATGAAATGACAAAAATAAAATTTGCTTTTTTGTTTTCGAGCGGAAAAAAGAGATTTTTGCGGAGCTATAGGAAACGAGGTCAATCTCTCTCTATGTACAGTTTCTGTGGAATGTCCGCTTTTCTTTTTTCGAGCTGGGACTGGGAGTGGGAAGCCCCAGGGAAGCCACAGTACATGACAAAGGCCGTTCAGGGCATAGTTTGATGAAGCAGAATGTAGCTTTGTGAGTCCTTCGTTCAAACTAGCCCCCTCACGCACACACAGAAATAAAAAAAAAATCCTGCTTGGGGTACCTACTCGCAGCCCGTAGGAGAACCAGAACCGAAGAATGCCCAAAGCGGATGCAAAATATAACAAAGGCAGTTGAAATATTTCCCCATTTCCCCTACGTAGTCTTTGTGACAAGCAATGTTTCGAGTTGAGAAGTGGTCGGGGCGATCTCTTCCGCTAATGGATACTACACATGATCCGTTTCAAATCCTGGAGCTGCTGCTCTTTGTATAACATGCGAGCTCATCCACATGTGAATAATAAAATGAGCGACGCAAACTTTGAGCGACAACTCTTGCTCAAGCTTAACAAGATCTAGAACCCCCTCCGTCCCCCCCCCCCCCCCCCCCCCCCCCCCCCCCACACACACACACTGGCGAACGCCCAAATCATTAAACGTCTTCAAACGAATTCTATGCTTCTGTCCGCATTGTGAATGTGCAACGACCACGAAGAGGGAGCCAGTTTTTCTTCTTCAATACTTGTCCAAATGTGAAATATAGGTTGGAAGTAGTTCATTGTTATGAGCGCTTAAGATGTGTCTTGACACAATAAAGTAATCGGAAAAGTAACGATTACTTCTTTAAGTAATGTCCAATTACTTTTGCCGTCGAGTAATCAAGTAATCTAATCGAATACTTTTTAGCCAAGAGTGATAGTAATTCTAATCAATTACATTTTTTTAGTAACGTGTACAAGACTGCACACATGTCACTCAAACCGTAGCAGGACTTGTTCCGCAAATCCACGCAAATGCCATAGTATCAAGCGAACACAAAAAAAAAAAAGAACTACCCGAGACTGCGGTGACGACAGAAAAACGACGGGAAGAAGGAAAGCAGCCTGAAAAGAACCACACACGAGAGCTTGAATAATTTGCCTGCTAAATAATTTGAGGGTTGGTATCTCGACCTTTCTGAAGTAAAGAACAAAAACCGCTTTTGCCTGCATGTCCAAGCTTTTATTTTAAAAATAAACAAAGATGGGGGTTTTCGGCTCCTCTCAACTCCTTCACCATCTTCCGAGCCACGTGCGCTGTGACGTCATTGGGGGACTCGCGGGGTTCCGGTGAAGCTCTCTGTCTAAAGCCATCAGTGAGCAGCGAGAACTCATGCGCTCGCGACCGCGTCACCACGTGCTGGCGCAGCGCGAACAATATGGCGAAAGGAGGAAAGTCTCATCCAGGTCCGGCCACCCCCGTCCGGCTCTGCCCCCGCCCTCCTCTGGCTGTTCGCGGTAGCAGATAGAGCTCACGGGTTTGTGGACCTAGGATAGATGGCGCCACTAAAACTCCGTATGTAAAAGTTTTGTCGATGATACCAGGTTTTTGACGCATTTATATTTATGTTCAAACGACTATATTTCTAGAAAAATTACCTTCCATCGAGCAGGTATTCGCACAACTTGCTATCTTTCTACAAGACCCCATTGACGTCACACCGTGTGTTTCTCATGGCCGCCACTCGCGGCTGCAGGCCGGGGAATATTATAATTTTTGCCTCGCGATTACGCGGCGGAATCGCAACATTTTGAAAGAAGGAGATGTGCTTTCTGTCCTTTGTGACAAGATAAACAATGTCAAAAGTAGAAGGTGCAAATTCTTTCAACGTTAAAAACGTTGCACAGCTCCTTTAACGTTGGCGACCCATCTCTTGCTCCTTTCAGCGTTCCTTTTCAGACAGTCAGCAGCTCTCACGCAACACATATTAGATTTACCAGAATCGGAGCCCGTATAAGGGAAGAAAATGTTGCACCAGGTCGGTTCATTCGAAAAGTCTGGGGAGCTGCGGGACTGCACGTAGCCCCGCGGTTAC